ACTGGTCTGGGTATCTATAATTTCTTGAAACTCCCTGGAAGTTTTGAGACGGAGTCTCGGTCTCTCACTCAGATGGAGTGTGGTGGCGTGATCTTGGCTCATTGCAACCTCTACCTCTTGGGTTCAAGCAATTATCCTGCCTCAGCCCCCTGAGTAGCTGGGATTACAGGTGCACGCCACCACGCCTGGCTAATTTTTTTGTATTTTTAGTAGAGATAGGGTTTCACCATGTTGGTCAGGCTAGTCTTGAATGCCTGCCTCAGCCATCTGGAAGCTTTTATTTGCAATTGGTATTCAAAAACTTTGCTAGGGAAGACCAGCACCCACATCAGATTCCTATTAGCCTAATGCAGTGGTTATCAAAAGTGTAGTTCATGGAACCCTTTCATGGGTTCATAAGATCAGAACTGTTTTTATAATATTAAGATACTTGCCTTTCAACTGTGATGCCATTTTCATGGATGACGCAAAAACAATACTAGCAACAGAATTATTATCTAAACTGCTACCTCCTCACCCAACCATGACATAAAAATGTTGCGTTTCTTCTTAATATTTTTGTGCAATTAATGATACTGTTGCATAGAAAGGGCACAGCAATTTGTGACAAATCGGTTCAGTTTAAATCTTAGCTCTGCTATTTATAAGCAGTGTGATCTTGGGCAAAGACACTTAGCTGTCTGCATCTGTTTCTTCATATGAAAAATATGGCCAATAATACGTCTTTAATAAAACCTTGTATAAAAAACACCTGTCAGAGTAGGTGCTTAACCAACACAGTAAGTCCTCACTTAACGTCATCCACAGGTCCTTGGAAAATGCAACTTAAGCCAAAAGATGTGTAACAAAACCAATTTTACCACAGGCAAATTGATACAAACACGAGTTAAGTTCCGATGGCATATTTCTGGTCACAAAAGCATCACCAAACTTCCAAATAAATATCAAAACCATTGTAATATTAAACACTGAAATAAATATGAGTTATACATCCACTTAAGAAAGATTAATAAAAACAAGTAAGATAGCTGGCTTATTTCAGTACAGTGTTGAAGGTGCCGGGAGCCATCTGAGTAGCTTTGAGTATAGGACATCATTCCAGTGCAGAGCACTCAAACTAGGAGAGTGTAGACACCTCAACAAACCTAATCTATACATCTCTGGGATGTGGGAAGGAACTGGAGTACCCAGAGAAAATCCATGCAGACATAGGAAGAACAGACATGAAGACAACATGCAAACTCCACACAGTGGCCTCAATTGGGAATGGAGTTTTTTCCTCATAAACGTTATTGAGGATCTGCTGTATTTCTTTCCCATCCAATAAATCATCCAAGCTGGAGCTGTGCTTCATCACCCTTCACTAAGTACCTTCAAAATGGTTTTCCTAGTTTTCCTTTCCTTTCAACCCAAGGGCTCATCAGAGTTGAGACATTCAATCATCGTATACCTGAACTACAGCACTTGTTTTCAAGCTGGTCTCCCAGATTCTAATCTTCCTCTATTTAAATATACTCTCTCCACGTTGTTACCAGTTGGTTTTCTAAAATGCACACCAATTTTATTTCCCTGCTCCAAAGCCTTTATAAAGTAAGCAATTAAACATCATCAAAATATAAAGTCTTCGGCATGGCACAAAGCTCTTCAAAATCTGGCCCTAATCTTTCTAGCCTCATCTATACTTAACTTTTTTTTTTTAAATTCCTGCCACATTGAGGCTCCATGCAACTATTGAACTTCATGCCTTTTGTTCCTATAACTGCCATTTCCTTTATCTATGGGATAGAGATCGCTGTCCCACCTCTAGCTAATGACCCTAATACTCTTTAAAATACAGGTGAGAGAGAATTATTTTCTTTGTTGGGGACATCTCTCAAGCAGTTCCCAGTCAGTACTACTCCTTCCACTGTGTTTAATGATTTTCTACATATCTTCTGCTACAAGAAGTGAGAAAATACTTCACGTCTATTCTCTGGAGACTCAGTTTAATTATGAAATGTGGGCAATCATTCCTACTTTGTGGAGTTTGTGAAAATCACTTAGCACACTAAGAAAAAGACATGAAAATAAACTCTCTTACAGTTAACCAAGTAAAGGATGGGAACTGGGCATGATTCCAACTCTGTTTGGCTCATTCTAAACCCATGCTCTTTCCACTACATGTGTTGTCATGCTACATCATAACAGACAACAGATGGAATTCACTTATTTAATCATCTCCCCCCACTGGACTGTGAAATCCCTGAAGACACCGAGCATGTCTGTATCCCCAGACTTTTTTTTTTGAGATGGAGTTTCGCTCTTGTCGCCCAGGCTGGAGTGCAATGGCGCGATCTCGACTCACCGCAACCTCCGCCTTCTGGGTTCAAGCGATTCTCCTGCCTCAGCCTCCCAAGTAGCAGGGATTACAGGCATGCGCCACCACGCCTGGCTAATTTTTTATTTTCAGTAGAGATGGGGTTTCTCCACATTGGTCACGTTGGTCTCCAACTCCCGACCTCAGGTGATCCACTCACCTCGGTCTCCCAAAGTGCTGGGATTACAGGTCCAGACTCTTAATGGCCTACTAACTCTAGCTGGCACTATGACTGTAGAGATTAAAATACCTAGTCTTTAAGAATTCTGCCTACAGAGGGAGAAATGTAGGCAACACCTTATTGCTGTTTTCTGTGAAAAGGGTTATGCTAGAGGGGTACTGGAAGTATACATGAATATCCCTATAGATACCTAAAGAGTAGAAGAAAATAGAAAGGGTTAAGGGAGGCTTTTCGGAAAGAGATGAGACATGAGAGAAATGTTGAAGGATGTTAGGCATTGGGGGAAACAAGGCATTCTGAAATTTTTTAAAAGTATTAATTCACAAGTGCTACAATTACTGTTCATACTGACAGATGTAAATTATTACTGCTGATAAACATTTTGTCCTTGAAATGCTTTTTAAAAAGATTCTTGGCCGTGGCGGTGGCTCATGCCTGTAATCCGATGGCATATTTCTGGTCACAAAAGCATCACCAAACTTCCAAATAAATATCAACACCTGGGAGGCTGAGGCGGGCGGATCACGAGGTCAAGAGATCGAGACCATCTTGGCCAACATGGTGAAACCTCGTCTCTTCTAAAAATACAAAAATTAGCCGGGCGTGGTTGTGCGCGCCTGTAGTCCCAGCTACTCAGGAGGCTGAGGCAGGAGAATCGCTTGAACCCTGGAGGCAGAGGTTGCAGTGAGCCGAAATTACGCCACTGCCCACTCCAGCCTGGGCGACAGCGCAAGACTCCATCTCAAAAAAAAAAAAATAAAAAAAATAAAAAAAAAATAAACTAAGTTTAGGCGCAAACTCAAAGATACTGAGACACTAATCCATTTCTTAAACCGCTAAGTTAGCCTCCTTGAAACCTCACTTCGTAGCTCTGCCAACAATGTACTTTTGACATCTCACAGCAATAAAAAACCACCTGCCAGTTGTTTCTGCTTTCCACCTATGTCTAATTTATATATTTATATTTATAAGGAACAAATTACTAAGACTTACTTCATCCTCAGTTATGTTGTGTTTCTATCGATAACACCATGAAGATTTCGGGCATCTGGACATTAAAATAAGTTTGAGTCCTGGCTTTACAATCTACTAGGTGTGTTCCAAGGCAAGTCAATCTCCTCATGTTTCACTTCTTTCACTTGTAAACACCTACTTAGAAGTTGTGGTGAACTTGATATTTCCATGCTTATAAACTGATTTTTTGAAAAGAGCCTGGTACATAGGACTTGATAATGAATGAAAGTATATGCTACTTTTGGAAAAACAAGCATGACAAGATAGTTTATATACTGATGATCTTCAGCACAGTATATGCGTCTTGTTTTTAGCTAGTCTGATAGTGAGATAATAAAAAGAGTTATCTTTGACTTGCACTACGAGTAAAATAATTCAACTTCAGTTTTTAGAAAGATGTAAAAGAATTAAGAGTGACAGTCTTGCTAGTCTCAACTGCCATCTTCCCATCAGGTGGTAAATTCGTCCAGAGAAGAAACTGAATTATTGCTATATGGGATTCTGTAGCAACTTCCGTGAAGGTGGGCTCATAATTTTTCACCATGAGACTCAAGCTTTTTGGAGTCATAGTTGTTTCTGGGTCTATTCGCAGGTATGCATCCTTTGCCCAGAAATATACACAACATTTGGCAAATGGACTTGGAGGTGAAAGAGGAGGAAGGCCTGAGGCTAGACACCACTCATATTAAGCCCCTAGAAAAGCAATCCACCTTTGCAGAGAACTCTTAACTATTAAAACCTATAGCTTGTAAAGTAGCATTTTCAAAGTTGAGAGAATAATGTAGAAGGGTCCTGAGAGGCTACTGACTAAACAGCTGAAAACGAAGGTATGGAGTTTGGTGCCAAAGGAACCTCCCCACAAAATCAAACAATAACACCAGAGTAAAGCCCCTAGGGTGAGTTAAGGAGATGCAAGAAAACAAGCGGAAACTCGAGAAGCTCTAACGCTTCAAAGCTTCAATGACCCCAGATAATCTACGTAGCCAACGTGTTAAAATACACCAACGCATTTTTTTTTTTTTTTTCTAAACAAAGTAGGAAAGCAGACTTTGCATGAGGGGCGGGCTCCGCGACCCAGGAGTCTTTCTTGGACAGTCCGTCCTGATTCTCTCTGGTTGACCGTGGAGGGACCACATGGCTCCAAGGCCCACACACCCCGGGCTGCCGCACAACCTCCAGCCCTAGTCTAGACCCACAATCCCTTCTCGAAGATTAACCGCGACCCGGCAGCCCCAATTCTTACCATAGCGAGGCCGGCGATACCGCAGCCACATCACCCTTCCGGGCCCCAGGCGGAAGAGGCTGCACGCCCCGTCTGCCCTTTTCGCCCTCTCCAGCCGTCCGGTTGGGCTTGTCACGGCACCGCCTACCGAGCCGGGCGATTAAGACGCTAGGATAGGCTCCTCTCCACCGGAAAAGGCGGGATTTATACCACGCCCCGCAGGCCGGCGGAAGTAGCTGATGCTCTCATTGGTTGCAAGAACTTGATCTGTGAAAGCGGGCGTTTCGGAGGAGACCGGAAGTACAGTCACGGAGAGGTAGGGTCCGGAAGTGGGGCTGCCTCTTTAAATAACAAAAATATGATTTTCTCTTTTTATCTTTTGCTTTCTTTTTTAAAAAGTTCCTTGCTATTTACCCCTAGAACTCCACAGTGTGAGAATCCCCCTCAATTTGTGAGCTCCCGCGCTTTCCTCTTGTGGGCTTTTGGGGATGCTAGGGTTCCCGGCATCATCCTCAGGGTGCGAACCTACCTGTTCACCCTCTTTTCAGTTTCTCCATTTGCATCTGGGGGATTCTTGGGAATGCGAAGCACTTTTGAAATGCTCTGTGTTGGTTGTGGGATTGGGAGGACAGTTGAATCCAGAGGGTAGTGAGTATTTCCCCAACACCGGCCTGTCCTTTCAATCCCCAGATATTGGTCAACTGTGGGTTCCATCCAGGCATCGTGACTGAAACGTACTAGGCAATTTGGGGTCAGGAAAGAACTTTCTGTGGTAACCAATGGGAAGGAACTGCCCTTTACGGACTGCAGCAATTGATAGGTACTTTAGAGAGATCAATTGGCAAGACAAATGACAAGCCAACTTTTAATCAGTAGTAGAATTTAGCTTTTTCTGATTTTAATTATCCCATTAGGTGAGGTTCTGTTACACACACACACACGCACGCACGTTTTTCTTTCTACATTTTGTCGATGGAGAAACAGGAGCTTTGACGTGTTTGAATGTGCGTAGTTCTTGGAATTCTGATAAAGTATTAGAAAGGAGAATTTTTCACTCTTTGCCCCCTTAAGGCAACCTTTTGGCTCTAAATGTGTGGTGTATTTTTTCTCAGGCAGCAGAGGGTTCTTTTCAGAATGTTTTCAATTTTTTATTTATTGACTTAAAAGGTGGATAGAGAGAAGGTAACTCACGTGAGATGTTGTTTTATGAGCTGTATTCGGCCTATGAGACCGTTTTGTATTTAGGGCAACACAAATGATTAGAAGATTTGGGATTCTGCTGTTTGTGTTTACATCATTCACTAGGGCACACAAAGGTTTTGTTTTAAACTAACTAACTTGATATTTGAGTCTGTTATATTGAATTGTCAAGAGTTGGTCAGTTACACAAATTAGCAAGTATTTACTGGGTGCCTGCTTTATTCATAGATCTTGAGATTGCAGCATAGGAACAAAGATGGTCTGTTCTTTTAAGGAATTTAATAACGTTGTGGGAGAGGGGAAAAAGAAAGGTATAAAAAAAATACAGTACTCTCCACCTGAGGAAGAAAAAAGTCTTTTAATGTTCTGTCTTGTAATTCCTTTATATTATACCTTTTAGGTCTTGCCATTCAAATTAAACAAACTTGGTTGAGCTATGGAAATTATGTTGTGCAACTTATCGAGCTTGGCTTTTAGGGTAGTAAATGTGTCTGTAGACATAACTGCCCTTGCTTTCGTGTGAAGAGTGTCTTGATCTTTGTTATACTTAAGAGTAATACTTCTGTATGAAGCTCTGCTTCAGGCTACCTGTGAAGAGCATCAGAAAGCTTAACTTGTTAGAGATCACAATTGATTTGCTATGTCTATATATTTTAATTAACTTTAGGCCATGACTTCTTATGTACCTGAGCTTCAAAATAGTAAAGAACGACATTGCCAGTTTTTAAGTTATCCATGGAGAGAAACACATGTGCCAATAAATGAGGCTGAACAAATATGTATAATGTTTATTGCATTTATGTAAAACATCAAAGTTAATCTGACGTGAGTTTTTTTGGGAGGTGGTAGTTTAGCTGCATCGTCTTACATAAACCCGCTACTTTTTGGTTTTCAGATTATATCACAATTTCAAAAGTCTTTCTGGCAGCTTTGCAATGAATCCTCATTTTAAACCATCTTGGATCCTTTCCTTACTAGAAATAAAGTCTGACTGTGTTATTCCTTTGTTCAAAAATTATTATTTATTTTATTTTTGAGACAGGATCTTGCTCTGTTGCCCAGGGTGGAGTGCAGTGGCACAATCATGGCTCACTGCAGCCTCAACCTCCTGGGCAGAAGCGATCTATCCTCCTCCCTCAGTATCCCCAGTAGCCAGGACCATGGGTGTATGCCACCATACTTGGCTAATTTTATTTTATTTTTTGTAGAGATGGGGCTCACTATGTTACTTAGGCTGGTCTCTAACTCCTGGGCTCAAGTGATCCTCCCGTCTCGGCCTCCCAAAGTGCTGGGATTACAGGGGTAAGCCACCGTACCGCGTCTGACCTGTTTAAAAATTTTTATCTCACCTGCATCTGGAAGAATATTTCCAACTTTGTTTTCTTGGGTATATTCGAATTGTATGTAAAAATAGTGGATATTTATATTTTTCTGTGGAGCCAGTGCAAAAGTGTCCTCAGTGTTATGAGGATTAAACGAGTTATTACAAGTAAATCATCTAGGCAAGTGTTTGGCATACAGTAAGCACTCAGAAAATGTTGGCTATTATTGTGCATGGCTTTGGTAAATTAAAAGTCTCTGGAGAGGAGGAATTATAATGGAGGAACTGTTGAATTGCATATATTAGGCACTAAATACAGTAGTCTCTCCTTATCTGAGGTTTTGATTTTGACAGTTTCAGTTACCTATGATCAACCACAGCCTGAAAATATTAAGTAGAAAATTCCAGCCGGGTGTGGTGGCTCATGCCTGTAATTCCAGCACTTTGGGAGGCCGAGGTGGGCGGATCACTTGAGGTCAGGAGTTCGAGACCAGCCTGGCCAACATGGTGAAACCCAATCTCTACTAAAATACAAAACTTAGCCAGGTGTGGTGGCATACACCTGTAGTCCCAGCTACTCAGGAGACTGAGGCAGGATAATCAATTGAACCCAGGAGGTGGAGGCTGCAGTGAGCCGAGATTGTGCCACTGTAGTCCTGCGTGGGCAACAGAGCGAGTCTCCATCTCAATTAAAACAAAAAAAAAAATTCCAGAAATATTTCATACATTTTAAATGGCATGCCTTTCTGAGTTGTGATGAAATCTTATTCCATCCCATTCCATTCAGCCTGAGGCCATGAATCATCTCTTTGTTCAGCATATCCCTGCTGTATAAGCTTCTTGCCTTTTAGTTGCTTGGTTATCAGATTGATGGAGGTGGTATCACAGTGCGTGTGTTCTAGGAATACTTATTTTACTTAATTATTGCTTCAAAGCACAAGGGTAACGATGCTGGCAACTTGGTTATGCCGAAGAGTAGCTGTGAAGTGCCTCTTTTAAGCAAAAAAGTGAAAGTTCTCCACTTAATAAGGAAGAAAAAAAAGTCATATGTTGATGTTGCTAAGATCTATGGTAAGAACAAATCTATCTGTAAAATTGTGAATAAGCAAAAAGAAATGTATGCTAGTTTTGCCGTCACACCTCAGACTGCCAAACTTATAGCCAAAGTGAGTGATAAAAGCTTAGTTAAGATAATAAAGCAATTAAATTTGTGGGTAGAAGATGTGAAAAGAAACATGCTCAGATTGAAGGCAGTTGGGTTCAGCCTTCCCCTGGGGCCTTGCGGTATACACCGTTGGATAAGGAGAGGACTGCTATAAAAGGTTTTAGTATTAACTTGGTATTGCATTTATATCACCAGACCACTTTCTCTCCATTTTCTCTTTTTACTTTGTTGCCAGTGTTAATGATAGGGTTGATTTACATTACCTTTTACATTACCTACCTTTTTTCATTCACTGTTATTCACATATATTGAAAGACAATTGTTCTGCTTTTTTCCTCTCATCCTCAGCTAGCCTTCCTAACCTCAGGTAGAGGTTTTTCGTGTTCGAGTGTTAGTCCTTTTTTTCTCCCCACTTGTTCTTATTCTTTTCCCACATGGCTTTTGAATTCAGACTGAAATGTACGTGAGGACCAAAGTTAATACAATTTTATTGTGTTAGGGATTTTTGTTAAATAAGTAGATTTTCAGCTGCCCTTGTCACACACAAAAAATAAGGTAGATGGTAGGTGTTAATCTCCTTCACTAAAGTAACCATTTTACTATCTATATGTATCCTAGAATGTCAAGTTGTAAACCTCTTAACCTTTCTCCATTTTCAACCCCATTTGTTTGCTCTTCTCTGCAACAAAAATCCTCTGAAGAGTTTTCTATGCTCCAGGTCCCAATTCCTCTTTTTCTACCTCTGCATCTTCATTTGCATATTTAAAAGATATCTTGAACTCAAATGTCCCAGACTGAACTCCTTTCCTCCCAAACCTTTCCCATTCCTTCTCATCTGAATTGATGGCAGCTTTATACAGCAGTTGCTCAGTTAAATCTTTGGAGTCATCCTTGACTCCTTACTTTCTCTTGTATTCCAACGATTCCTGTTGGCTTTTTCTGTGAAGGATATCTAGAATTCAACAGTTTTCTACTATTTCTGCTATTAGTATACTGATCATCTCTTGCTCGGATTTTTTGTTATTGTCCTGTATAATTTCTTGCTTGCATTACAGTAATTGTGTTCTATTCTCTGCTTTTTTCAGTCCTTGTCTCCCTACAGTCTATTCTCATATGTCAGAGTGATACTTTTAAAATATAAATCAAAAATTGTACATTTACATGTAAGATTCTAAATGCAATATGTTATCCTAGATTGGATCCTGAAACAGAAAGAGGTTATTAGTGGAAAAACTGGTGAAATCCCAATAAAGTCTATGGTTTAGTTGATAGAAATGTATCAGTGTTGGTTTCTTAGTTTTGATAAATGCACCGTGATAGTATAAGATGTTAACATTAGAAGAAACTGGGTGAGGGGTATTTGGGAACTTTCTATTATCTTTGCAAATATTCTGTAAATTCAGAATTATTCCAAAATAATATACAGAAGAATATAACATTACCTTTTTGCTTAAAAACCTTTCGTGAATCATTTGATTCATAGTAGAAGCTAACAGCCTTACGTTGGCCTACAATAGTCTACATCAGTCTTGTCCAACCCACAGGCTGCCTGTGACCTATGATGGCTTTGAATGCAGCCCACCACAAATTTGTAAACTTTCTTAAAACATTATGAGATTTTTTTTTTGAG